AACCCAATCCTGTCCATCACTCAAAGCCCAGCTCAGTGCTGCCTCCTCCCTGGCCTGCTGTGAATTACATATATCATTCCTCTCACTTGACCCTCTTATCTGGATTAGGGAGCTGAAGACTTATGCAAAATCCCTCTCTGCTAACCAATAGTTAGGTCTTGCACAAGTCACAATCCACGTGAGCCCTGGTTTCCACATCTGTAAACGGGCATAGAGATCCCACTTCTCAGGAATGCTCTAGGTCTTGAGTCTAGGGGTTAACTGAGACACAAACCAAGTGTTTATGGCCTGTCTCCCCTCTTGGTCTATTTTGTTTTCTCTGTTCCTCCAGCCCTAGAGCAGTGCCGGGCACATGACAGCTACTCAATAGTTTAAAACCAATGAATGAATAGCAGCCAACATTGACTGAGTGCTTTTTAGGGTCAGAAACTCTTCTGAACTTTTCACATGTTTTATTTCATGGACTAGAAGGAACTAAGCTAAGAAAATGTAAGATACTTTCAGGGTGCCAGTGCCTCCAGGGCAAATAACGTGCTTATGTTCATTGTGGACACTCAATAAGCATTAGTTGCAAGATTGATCGAAGGAAGGAATACTTGAATCAGAGTTCATTTGCCAGGCTGCCTGCCACCATAGCCTAATGGACAAAGCAGCTGGCAGCAGAAGGTCCTGGACTACAGGTTTTGTTTGGGGGAGGGGAGGGAGTATGAAATCTTCCTGCTTCATAAATCTGTCCATGGCTGACCGGTTAGCCTTTGGCCTTGGTTTCCCACGGACCTTGGTCCCGCCTGTACACCTGCTTTGGTGCTGGTATCAGGAAGCAGCACAGCAACGACCAGGCCTTCTGGGGGAGACTAGTCCTCTAATAAGAAGTCCGGAAATGCCCGGCCGGCATGGCTCAGTGGTTGAGCGTCAACCTATGTATCAGGAGGTCACGGTTCGATTCCTGGTCAGGGCACATGCCTGGGTTGTAGGTTCAATCCCCAGTGTAGGGCATGCAGGAGGCAGCCGATGCATGATTCTCTTTCATCATTGATGTTTCTATCTCTCTCTCCCTTCTTCTCTGAAATTAATTAAATATATATATTAAAAGCCCAGAAATGAACAGGCTAGGGGGGCTGGGTCCTGATCTCCAAGGCTAGTCCAGGAACCTGAGTCTTGATTTCTCCTGGAATCAAGAATGAAAATGCCAACCACCAGGAAACACACAAGCTGCTCTTTGGGATCCTATGGAGGAACATGATGCACTTGCATGGAATTTTCTCCCCGGGGAATGTAAGGGTTAGGGGTGTGTTACTGGTCAGAGGAGGTCGGAATGCTCTGCCGGGCTAATGGGTCGCTTTGCCTAACAGGAAATGCCCACGGGGTGTGTTGGGGTGGGGGTGGGGTTGTCCCTTTAGTTGTGTAATTAGATTTCTGGGGAAAGAGCGTTGGCTCAGGAATCCAAAGCAAAGAAAGAGCAAGAGGGACTCGGTGGAGAGTGTGTGGCTGGAAAGGGCCTTGGCGGTCCTGCTGTAGAGCCCCTTGTCTCGGCGGCTGCCCAGCCTGAGTGGGGACAGAGCGGCTCCCCACTTCCCTAGAGCTTCCCTTACAGGAGGGTGCAGCGGTTGCTGTTTCTCCTTCTCTCCTGCCTGGTTTCTGAGGATTCTGGAGAAAACACGGGAGACTGGAACACAAAGCCCGGGCCCGGGACTTTTCCAAGGAGCTTTGTTCTCCTGCTGACATGGGCAGGTTCTGGCGTTGGGCTCACCAGGTGTTCTGAGAAGTGCTGAATGGATGAACGACACCTGGGCTAGAAGCGGGTCTCGCAAACCTCGTCCCCGGTGATCTCATGCTTAGGGACTGAAATTCCAGGCAGGCCTCAGATGGCAGACCTTGCTAGAATAAACAGGACTCACCCTGTGCCCAGTCTTGAAAAAGACCTTCCTTTTCTAGACCATGAGAGCCAACCTTCCCCAAATAAGGACAGTGGAATAATTCACTGAGCGACTAGTTTCCTGCTCCCTGTACCCCCCTCTGCCCAACCCCAACCCTGTTTCTAGCAGAGCCAGGCCCTTCAGGAGCGGAATCTGCAGGGCAGACAACAGAATGTTTTTAAGTCGGTGGTTTTAAACTCCCTGAAGAGGTTTCACCAGATGTCCCGAGGAGGAGAGAGAAGATAGGGATATCACATCATAATAAAAAGAGCTTTAGCTGTCACCCCCTCCTCCGTACTGGAGAGAAGCTAGGGATCTGTGAAACCCCTCCCTCCCCCCTCCCAGGCATCACCCTGGGAGCAAAGCCTCAGAAGAAAATGGGGCCTGGTGATCATAGGTGGGTGGATCAGCGCTGGGCTTCTAGACTCACCCAGGAGTCCCGTGCCCCAGGTGAGCATAGAGCCACCAACTCCAAGGCACCACAAGGCCTGAAGAGAGATGTCTGTGGGGACCCTCATGCATTGATATTCATGTTCAGGGCGAACAGGAGACTCTCAGGTTCTGCTAGTCAGTGATGACTGAGACCAACTTCCCATCATCCCTGTGGGACAGTGATTTGGAGTTGAATTTTGATTTGGTTTACACACCTGTCTGGCACACCTGTGCTGTGGGCTGAGCTTCACACTCACTGTATAAGGAAACAGCTCCTTGTTTTTTTTTCTCTCTGCCTCAGATACCATGATTCTAAGGACGCCACAGACTGGCTGGGGGTTGAATCAGAGGACTGAGTGATGGGCCAGGCTGGGTGGGGAGGTAGAGCTCTGGGCTCTAGAAAACCCACTAATGAGCTTTGCGTATCCCCCTCACCCACCTGGCCTGCTGCCTGTGCTGTGGACTGGAGTCCTCAGCACCCTGACCAGGACAGATGTGGGTCCCTGCTGGCCTGGGCCTGCTGGGCCCTCTGGGAGCAGCCAGGCTGGGAGCCCTGATCTCTGGGGTGACCCGCCAAGTGGGGACACAGTTGAGTAGGTGAGGGTCTCACTCCACCTCCGCTCTCCCATTCCCAGTAAAACAACAGCTAATGGTTTCTCAAAGTTCCTGTCTTAACCAACATGTCATTTCAGCTCCAGGGGCCAAAGGGAAGGGCGGGGCCTGGGGCTCACTTTTCTGTTCTTCAAATGGCAGATGGGCAACAATGAGAGTAGCCCTTCTGGAGGGCAGTTAGAGGACCTGCAGGCTGCGAGCTAACAAAGCCCTGGCCGCGCTTCCAGAACCCCAAATTGGGTACTTTCAGGCTCCACAAAGCCTGAGTCTGCCCTGGAGAGGAGTCCCTGGAGGTTCCCAGGCCCTGCCTCCCGCTGGGACAGCCCCGGACAGTTGCCCGCATTTGCCTGGATTCTTGGCAGAGCTCTGCTGCGATCTGTACAGAACTTTGCCCGCATGACTTTTCACCTTCACGGCACCTTGTGAGGCAGGGAGGAAAGTGAAAGCTAAGGAAGCCACCTAATCCAGAACTGAAAGGGGGTTTAGAATTTCTCTGCCGGAATCGTTGAGGGCTGGAGATGAAAGGCCTGCACTGTAATTTGCTCCCCCGAGTCTCTCCTCCCCTCCTGGTTGTCCCACAGCCTGTCAGCAATGGCTGCCCTTCCCCCGTACCCATGTGTAGACCTCCTTGTCTGCGCAGGTAAACTCACTTATTAACGTATGTTGTATGTAACAGCGTGTCAGGAGCTAGGCAGGGCGCTATAGATAGGGAACTCATTTAATTCTCCCCAAATCCGATGAGGTAGGCACCATTATTATACCCATTTTAGAGGTGGGAAAACCTGATGCTCAGAACATATTTTGTCATGAGTTGTGTTAGAGTAGAACTAGAATCTTGAGTCTGATCCTATCGGATCTCTCTCTCTCTCCAGAGACATATATATGTATTATTTCATATGTATCCATCTTGCCACCTAATACTTGGGGTTAGGGTCTGTATTGTATATTTCTTTAAAATCTCCGGATGCTATAGATCAGGGGTCCTCAAACTTTTTAAACAGGGGGCCAGTTCACTGTCCCTCAGACCGTTGGAGGGCCGGACTATAGTTTAAAAAAAAAACTATGAACAAATTCCTATGCACACAGCAGCGGCAAAAACACCCGGTGGGCCGGATAAATGTTTTCGGCGGGCTGCATGTGGCCCACGGGCCTAGTTTGAGGACCCCTGCTGTAGATAACATTCTATAGATCTTATAGATAAAATACAACTGAGGCCCAGAGTTGTTGAGTGATTTGCACAGAGTCACACAGCAAGTTAATAAAACGCACTGGGCCCGGAATTCCTGCCTGGGACTCAGCTTGCAGAGGGCTACCCATGGGATTGGGGGGCATTAGCTCTGGCTCTCAGATGAATGAATTCATGAAAGAACAAGAATAATTGGCCACGAGAAGAGTGAGTCGTTTAAGAATCAGTGGGCTTAAGACCATCCCAGTCAGATCTGGTAACCAAGGACATCCACTGAGCTTCTAAGTGATATAAGTGTAACTTCCTGGTTCCCTCTAGTCCAGGTCAATGGCCAGAAGGATCCTGCTGACCTGTTGCCATTAATGTCTTCCCTCTGGATCCCATTCTCCAGTTGAGGGGATTCTAGGGTGATATTTACTACCTCTTCAAAGAGAATCCAAGGAAAACAAAACAATAATTCAAAGGGGTAAAGGCCTTTTTTATCCCTCCCTCCCACCCCCTCCTATGGCCAGCAGCACTCTCTGGAGCACACACATCCCCCCTCCCAATCCCCCCGCCCCAGCCACTCCTTGCAGAAGGTACTCTATGACTCAGGTGGCTTCCCCCAGGGCTTTACAAGAGCAAGCATGAGGAAGTGGGTGTGGAAATGCGGTAGGAGATACAGCCTGGGGTGGGTGAGAATTTCCTTCCCTGGAGACAGGAATGGATTGCCCTCCTGGGAGCTCAGGGTTGGGGAGGAAACTCGGTTGGGGAGGGAGGCTGTGGGGAGAGGGAAGACCAGAGGCCCGCATCAAGTGCCCCCTCCCATCCTTCCCCATGCCAGCCGTGGGCGGTCTTGCAACCTTGGTACTCACATCTGCCTCGTTCCAGAGCCCTGGGATGCAGAAGGATTCGAGCAGGTCACTGCCACACAGCAGCAAGATCCGCAGCTCTGAGGAAGGGACAGAGTTTGCAGAGGGAGCCTGTGAAGACCTGGGAAGCATGCGGCTCTCAGCCGCCTTCCCCGTTGCACCCAGGAGTCTCCCCCCTGGGGCTCCCAGGCACCCCTGCACCATGGTGTGTGCAGTGCAGAAGCTTTTGCTCACCTCTCCCTCAGCTCGTTCACAGACCACCCCTGTCTCCTGTGGGAGGATTACTTTGGAGAGGGTCTGATTTGCTGGGTACTGAGGGGTTTCTGGGGTCAGGATGGCCCGTCACTCTAACAGAGACGGAGCCAGCGATGTGCCCTAAGGTCTCAGGGTCTCTCTCTGTTGCTTCACATCAAACTCAAGGGTCAGGGGCATTGGCTTCTCTGATGCTGTGCCTTGTCTGGGTTTGTCTCCCATCACAAATGCCGACATGAAGTGGGAAAGGGGGGCATTGAGGGCACCTGGGGCAGTAGCTGAGCTCCTCAGATGTCCTCTCCTTCCCTGGCCCCTGTCCTCAGCTGAGGGCTGGAGAAGCGGTGCCGAGCACCCCTTGTCTGACTCCCAGGCACACTCCCCGCTTGTCAGTTGTTTTTCTTCCCTCGTTAAGCGCGCTCTGAATTAGCCCAGGGAGGCCCATCGTGGTTTAAAACAAGCAGCAAACTGACTCACTCATTAAAACCCTGGGGTTCTTGGAGCCACAGAGGAGAGATCTCTGCCTGGGGCGGGACTCAGTGGTGTGTTTAGTTTGGAGCCATCCCAGGCCCCCTGTCAAGAGGCTGTGGCTCTGGGCTTCTTGTCTGAAACAGTGAGCCTGCCTGGCTCTCAGCCCTCCAGAGGCCGCTGCCACCCCAGGCCCGGAGGCTGAGGTGGCTTAGACCCCACAGCCAGCTCAGGGCCTGACAGGGCCTTTCAGACCGTGATGCTGTCCCTGCTGCAGGTGTCCCCGATGGTTCAGAGGGAGGCTGCTTGGACTGACAACAGACAGGGCAGCATCTCATCTTCGTCCCACTCAAACCGACCATCCTCAGGGAGCCCCATGGAGCCCTGGGGGCTTAACTCCTAAATATTCCTGCCTTCCCTCTCCTTCTCTCCCCTTCCCTCCCTCCCTCCTCCCTTTCCCTCCCTTTCCCTTTCCTCCTGATGTCCTGCTATAGCCGAATGATCTGTTTATGTGCAGGGACCTTAACTTACCTTTATATCCCCAGGGCAGACAGAGTGACCTGCACACAGTAGGTGCTCAGGACATATGACTAAGTGAACTGCAGACCACCTGACCAACAGAGGCCATGCAGGCAGGCTGTCTCAGAGCCTCCGGGCGGTCTGGGCGGTCTGGGCTGGCCATCATGGCCTTTGCCCTTATATCTTGGGGGCCTGGGAAAGTGTCGCCCTAGTCAGCGATGCCTCCCTCCCTCTATGTGATGCCCTGGGATTGCTGGCCCGACTCCCCACCTGTGGAGAGGAACCGGCCTTGGTGTGGCTCAGAGGAGCCAGGCCAGATTCTCTCCTGGGAGCCTGTTGTTCCCGGCCTCCCACCAGGAGCCAGAGAGCCAGGTCAGTTCCCTGTTGAAAGGCTGAGGCTCAAACTCCAGGCACCTGAAAGCTCAGTCAGGGGGCTGAGCCCAGAGGATGTGCTGGCCCTCAGCTCTCTCTCACTCAGTGGTTCACAACGGCGGGTAATTGTGTCTCCAGAAGCTGGCCGCGTCTGGAGAGGTGTTTGGTTGTCGAGACCGGGGAGAGGCAGGGATGCTGCTCGACATCCTACCCTGCGTGCGGCAGCCCCCACAAGAACCTCTGCTCGGTAGCCATGGGAATGAATCTCTTTTCTAACCCCCAGCCAGAGCCTCGCTTTCCCACTCCAGTAGAATGTTGGATTATTATTTTGTCAAAAGCCAGAGCACCGAGAGTTAGAGTGGGGTCTCCACCTTCGCTTACAGGACCAGAGCAGATGGATTTATCACAGACCGCAGGCCCTCACAGGGCTTGGGAGTTCACGTGTGGCCACTAGAGGGCAGCAGTGATTTCTCCCAGTTTCATGCCTGAGACAGGAGGCCTTTATAGCCCACAAAGCCTTTGGTCTGGGGTTGCTTCCTCCCCACCTCCCGCTAGCGGGGCAGCGAGCTGGTTAAGAACATGGAGCCAAAATGCTAACTGAGCTAAGAGAAAAATGGCTTTTCCCTTCTCTTGAAGCGTGCAAGGGGATTGCAAAAAGAGAATGTGTGAGCCAGAGGGCTTCACAGCACGGAGGTCCGGGGAGGCAGGGCAGCTCTCTCCCACTTCCCCATTTCCCCCTGCCCAGGGATCCAGGGCCCACAGCCAGAGTCAGTGCTCTCCAGGCACCCTCCCCACCCAGGAATCTGTGCTATGTGAAGCCCAGGCCCCTCAGCCCTTCCCAGCTCCACCGCACACAGAGGCAGCCGCCACCTGTGCCAGGCCAGGCATCCATCCTGACCCCTGTGGCCACCCAGCTTTCCTTCCTCTGAAGGAAGAGTAAGTAAGATGGGGCGAAGACTGCCCTTCCCGAGGCTGCAGTGAGCGCTGGGCGCAGAGCAGAGCCCTGTGCAAACCCCATTGGTTTTGCCTCTCGGTAGGAGGGAGCTCTGCTGGTCATGAAACTTCCCCGAAAACGAACTCCTGGCCAGTGTGGAACCTTGGGGACGGGGGTGCAAGGCTTTCGCTCCCATCCTGGCCTTTGGGTTTGGAGGCTGTGGCCACTGTGCACCTGCCTGCTTTGGGGTGCCCCCAGGAAGCCAGGTACCACTTTCTGTGGCCCTCAGACAGGGCCGTGCCAGTAAATAAAGGATATTAAAATATGGTCAGCTACTTAGGAAGTGAGGAGTTTCCAGTACTCATTACTTTGGTTTTTAACACAATTTACTTAACTGTTACTTGATATAATTTAATTTTTTGTATTGGCTGCATGTAACGGCCGCTTCACAAAATTCCTGGAAACCTTGCAAACGGTTCTAGCAAACCAGCGAGAGCTGAGCCGAGTGCACAGGACCCAGGAAAGCCCCGGAAATGATGTCACAGCTGCTGGGCCTCCTGGGAGGACCTGATATTCAAGTGCAGCCCACCTCCCAGGGTCACTGCGGGAGGCCGTGACCGCCAGCCCCAGACAGAGGACTGCGGGAGGGGGCACCTGCAGCATCTCCGCAGCTGGACCTTGGAGACTGCGCGTGTCTGCTGGACACCAGGCTGCCCCTCCCCCTAGAGATCCAGGCATCCCGTTGCCACCGACCCTCTGCATTCTGGAACCTGTCTGCTCTTTCCCCAGCGTCAGATATTTGTGTCCCCCCATATCTCTCATCCACTCTGGAACCTTGGAAAGATTGCAGTTTTCTGGTTTGCTCCCCAGGTTGGCCAGGACTCGGTTCCCTCCCTGGGGCAGGTTGGCTCCTTTCCACCTGGCAGCTCCGGTACCCGCCCTCCACCTGCTCTGGCCTTGAGCCTCCACTGCCCTCGCATGGACGGTAGATGCCTTAGCCTCAGCCCCAGGCTGCAGGGAGGCTGTGGGGCAGCTTTTGGCTCTCTCTCTACCCCTCTCTATCCAAAGGTCTTCTGCCTCCTGTGCAGTGGAGTGGGCAGGCCTCTCTGGCTGGCACTGAAGCTCGACTCTCAGGTCTTTGGATGAGGGAGGCTCCAAGGGAAAGCTGCCCAGGGATCAGGCCTCCCTCCTGGGAACTGGCGAGAGTGCAGTTACGAGGCAAACAGGGGGATCACTGAGACTTTGGTCTTTGCTTGGGACTCTTCTGAGAGTAGACCCGGTAGCCACCCTGGCCCAGGGTTTTCAAGCCTCTCTCCGCCCCCACTTTGCCCGTGGTAGAGGCAGGCGGCTCCCCATGCCCCAGCCCTGCTTTCCCATCCCCACTCACCAATCTCCTCGTACCGCATCACCGTGCCCAGGTTGGCATTCTCATCTGGGGGGAGAGGGGAACACAGAAGCATTAGGGCCCCGACTTCTGGTACCCAACCTGCAGTCTGCCTGGGCTCCTTGGAAGGAGTACATGGGAGGGGGTGGGGGGTGGGGATGGGGGGTGCTTGCCTCCCTGCACAGGGGGCATCTGCGTAGCGTGAATGGACAGCACAGTCCAGCCCAAAATAGAGAGGGAGCATCTCCCTGGGCTCCTGGGCAGACGTCACATTTCGGGGACAGTCAGCATTAGCCTCGCTGGGGAGCCAGTGACGAACACACACGCTCCTGCTGAGCGCCTTCTGTTTCTGTATTTTAGGGAAGAGCAACGTCCTCGAACCAAGGGAGGCAGCTTTGAGTCACACGGAGGTGGCCCTCTCTCCTTAGGGGTGACGTGGCCCGAAGGGCAGGCAAAACAGCCTTGGCGGTTTTCCACGGGGCGGGGTGCAGCAAGAGCCCGAGGCCGGTGTGAGCGACAGAGCCTTCGGCGCCAGCCTGCGCGTGTGCAAGGCCTGCGCGGGGGAGCACGGCGTGCACAAAGCCACGGGGAGGCCACTTTGGTCCCCTGCCTCCCTTCCTCCTCAGCTGTCCCTCTTAGTTCCTTCTCGAGACGCCTGCGATTGGGAATCTCAGAAATGGCAGGCGTCAGCCCCAAAGCGTCAAAGGGGAGAGGCCTGGGCCTTTAGCTCCTCCGCCAAGTGGGACTGGGGGCTCGGAGAGTCCCATCCATGCGGGGTCCATGGGGAGCAGCCCAAACCAGAGGGAATTAGGGAAAGTGTGTGTGTTCTCCCGCCGCCAGGAGGACAGGCATGCCTGAGCCGGAAGGACCTGAGCGGGGATGTGGGCCCCCTGAAAACTCCTAGGCCTGTAGACACATCCTGGGGGGGTGGGAATGAGCCCATCTCCGAGGGGGTCTCCCAGGCAGCCCAGGCCCTGAGGGTCATGCCCTCTGCCTCCCAGAACAGCTCCACCAGCACCACTGTTAACTTGTTTTCTTGAAACCATTGTTCTGTAAATGGTCATCCCATAGCAGGTGCTGGATGGGGTGAGGGTGGGGTTGGGCGGGGGGGGGGGGGGGGGGCGGGTGTTTCTGGATGAATGAAGGGAGGAGGGAAAGAAAAGAGGCAGGACTGGGAGAGAAGGTCCGTGCTCCTTACCCACAAAAGTGAAGCGCTCCACGGGCGGGCGGACGCAGCAGATCCGGCTTAGGCTTTCTCCCACCTTCCCCAAGATCTTGGCTGCGGGAGAGAGCAAGACACACAGGGACAGGGAGAGAACCACTCACAACTGGCACTGGGTAAGCCCGGCCTCGGGCCCCCGTTAACAGCGGGGCACACTGGAGGGGGGCGGGGGGGGGGGCGGGCAGTGGGCGGTGGAAGGAGGGTAGAGAGAAAGAACAGAAACATGACAGCAAAGATTCCTTCTCATTCACAGTCCAAGGCACAGCATTTTGAGCCACGGACTGGCGTCTATTCTCTGGTCATGTTTATTACATGGTTGAAAAATCGGAAAATATAGAAGAGGAAGATATATGAAGAAGAAAATAAATGATATACCAATATGTCAGTGCCACTGACATATTGACATATCATTTATTTTCTTCCATTTTTCAAATGTGTATCATGCAGCTGTGTCTGTGTAACATCAGGTGGGTTATATCCTGTGTTTAAAGGGCATATTGGCTGTTTGCTTATTTATTTTTTTTAATATCATGAGCTTTTACCCACCGCTGAACACTGACCCCCAGATCCAAGGAGCCTGGGCCTGTGGCAGAGGATTCATGTGGAATAATTCCTGCTGGTCATTCCTTCCCATGCAGACGGCCCTTAGAACAATCAGACACCCTACTCTGGCCAAGAGGTATCTGGTTTTCCATCATCTCTCTGGGCTCCAATCCAGACTTTTTTTTTTCCTGAGCCCCCACCTGTGGCTGTAAGTGAACTATGGAACTCTTTCCTGTTTATAGCAGCCTATAAATGACATAATCGCTTATGGGGTCCAGGCTGGAAAAGTAATACCAGGGTCTGCTTCTTGCAATTGGCCTGGAAGAAAATATCAGACAGAGCGTAGACCTTGGAATCAGAAAGCCCTGGATGTGAATGCTGGCTCCTGTGCGTTTCAGCCGTGTGTTCTGAGGCAAACCATGTCTCCTCTGCCTCTCACGTCCATGGGAACGTCCTATCTCTATCGCAGAATCACTGCATTCGAACAGAAGCTGGGTAAAGCACTGAGCACGGTGCGGGCACCCAGTGCTAGGTGTTGGGTGGCTGTGGGGTGGCCCCCCACCTCTCTGTCACTGAAGAGGGGGGTACGAGGGTGGGATTCTGGATATAGACGGCCTGGGTTTGACTCCTGGTCCTGCTACTTCCTCGCTGTTTGACTTGGGCAAAGTCCTCAACCCCCTTGGGAGAGGCAGAGGACAATGCCCTCTTTTGTATCTTTCATTTCCATTGAGGCAGTTTATATTTATATTATATTTATATAATTTATATTGATATACAGTAGAAGAGTGCATACCCTCACCCCTGTGTCTCTCTGTCTCTCTAATCCTGGCCATTTCTCTCTGACCCTCTATATGAAGGGTTGTCGCTATGGAGACCACAGCATCAGCATCACCTTGTTAAAAATGCAAACTCTCCCCCTCCCAGACATACTGAATCAGATCTGGGGCGGTACTGAGCAATCTGGACTTTAACAAGCGCTCCAGGCAATTCTGAAGCCGGAGAACCCTCCGTACGCCGGCGTTCCCTACCTGCAGTGGGCTTGGTGGACACATTGCTGTTCTGGTACATTGGCTGGGTGTTCTCGTTCTGGGGCTGTCCGATCACGGGGGTCATGGAGGGGGTGTTGACATTGGAGAGGATGCAGCCGGTCACCCGCTGGGGGAAGAGAAAAGTTCAGAGTCAGTGCCATCAGCCAAGTGACTTACGGAACGTGTTTCTAATCATCTCCAAACACACATGTGCTGTCCAATGGGGTGTGGTGTTGCCCAGACCTAGGTTCAAGGTTGAGCTCTGCCCGCTTCTGTCTGTGTGACCTTGGATAGGGACTTAACTTCTCTTGAACCTCAGCTCAGGAGTCTAGCATAGAGAGGCAACATTTCCAGGTTGTGCTGGGATTATACGAGGGAGGATATGCAAGGTGTCTATGGAGTGCCTGGCGCGTGGCAGGAACCTGGTACCCCCAGCCCGTGCTGTAACCTCTGGATAACATGCATACCTGCCCTCCCTGCCCGCTTCGTGGGGCTCAAATGAGGTCATGTCTGCACAAGGGCCATGTGAGCTTGGGAAAGGTCATATAAACACCAGGCACTATCGCCATCTGCCGCCTCTCCAGGCCAGAAATGCCAACGGCAGGGCCAAGCCAGAGCGGTGCCAGGCAGAGCAGGAAGCGTTTGTGTTGCAGGAGGGTGGGGCGGGGCCCTGGGCAGAGCGGGCCAGTGTGAAGCCACATTCCAGAGCCAAGCGGAAATGCTATGTGTATTCAGCATTGTCCTGTGTTATCCTGCACTGCTTCTCTCTAGGGCAGCGGTTCTCAACCTTCCTAATGCCGCGACCCTTTAACACAGTTCCTCATGTTGTGGTGACCCCCAACCATAAAATTATTTTCGTTGCTACTTCATAACTGTTATGTTGCTACTGTTATGAATCATCATGTAAATATCTGATATGCAGGATGTATTTTCATTGTGACAAACTGAACATAAAGCATAGTGATTAATCACAAAAACAATATGTAATTATATATGTGTTCTCCGATGGTCTTAGGCGACCCCTGTGAAAGGGTCGTTCGACCTCCAAAGGGGTTGCGACCCACAGGTTGAGAACCGCTGCTCTAGAGCTTCAGAAAACGGAGCAGATACCCAGCATTCGTCACAGCTGACCCAGGAGTGAGGGGACAGTGGCTGCTGGGCAACAGAAACAAAGGATGAATTTTCAATCTGTGTAGCCTTGGAAGAGCCATTGCTGATTCCAGGCCCCTTCCCTGCAAGCCAGCATCCCAGCCCCTGCCCACCGCCCATTCTAGATTACTGTGCTGTTGCCAGAGGACCCCCAAGCTCCAGGGCTGGGGGGACCCTCTGAAGGTATTGCTGGTGGAGTGGAAGGGACAGTCTGCCCCCTTTTTAATGTTATGTCACCCCCAGATAAGAAAACGCCACATTCGCACTTAATAACTGGTCTGGCAGCTGAGGAGTTTCCTCCTCTTGCTGCGTGCATCCTAGTTCTAGGCTAGGGAAGGAGGAGAGGGCAGGCCGCCTGCCCCAACCTGTCCTCGTCAGTTTCTCAGAGGACTTCCCAAATGTGGCCTTGAGCCACTTCTTAAGCCCCGTGCCTGTCTCTCCGATGGGTCTACTCTCCCTGCCAGAAACCCAGCCTGATGCTAGGACTGGGGAGGCCAAGGGTTCTTAGGAGGCAGCCCAGCTCCTGCTCCAAGCCCGGGGCCATTGAGAGCTACATCCTCTGCCCATCTGTGCCTGTCACTGCTGCAGCTGGGGCACCTGGCACAGCTTCTCTGGCCCAGGACCATGCCTCTGGGCATTGCCAACAGAGGAAGGGGCAAGGAGCCCAGGCACCTAGACAGCAAAACAGGAGCCAGGCATTATGGCTGGCATACCCGGGGCCCAGGCATGTCTGTGGGTTTCTGGAGTCCTCCCTTCCATCATGATGCCCGGGCTCCTGGGTGACTATTGGGAGCACAGGTCCCTGTGGCCCCTCAGCTGATACTCAGTGTGAGAAAAAATGTATGGGCAGCCACTGAGATTTTCAGGATGTTTGTTACCACAGCATCTCTTAGCCTGTCCTGACGGATATGCCCTTAGACAGTAAGACGGGGTGTCCTGTATCACGGAGCAGCACAGGGGAGCAGCCAGTGCCATCCTTCGCCAGTCCGTTCAAGGGGGCCAGAAAAGACTCGGGGTGAGTGTGAAGGGTTCTGAAAATGGAGGGAAGGGACATGGGTTTTCTTCAACTCCCTGGGCCTGGGGGAAATCTTAACGGATGAAGCAACTGCCTGCTAGTCCTCTCGACTCCTCTGGTGACCCTGGACGGTCTGGAGCCCAAAGGCTGCGCGTCTGTTAAGATAAAGCGTGGTCCGTGGTTGGCATAGTGTGGGGTGGCCAGGGCCGCGGACAGCGCCCCAAGGAGGAGATGGGACAGGCCCTTCGACACAAGCACAGATGCGCTGGAGGGACTCCCTGTGGGCAGAACAATGGCGTTGGATTGTGGTTTGGGGCTGGGAGGGCCCTGCAGCAGGGTCGGCCGCAGGCGAGCAGAATGGATTGTGTCTGGCCTTAGGGGCTGGGCTTCCTGCTTCTCTCCTTTCACAGTGGGAGTCAATGGGTTGGTGTTGGTCTGTGGCGGGTGCAATTGGCTGGTGTGCAACCCGTCCTCACCTGGCAACCCGGCCACAAGCCCCAGGCACCCTGCCGTGCTCACTAGGCAGTCACTGTGTGTCCTCAGACACGCTGGCTCACCTCTCGAGCTTCCTTTTACCCACGGACACAGCAGGAGCTAAAACGCTGTCTGCCCGTGGGACTCACTGAGGAGGAACCCGTGGGGATGGCGGTACAGTGGCTGGCAGTGTGCAGGGTGGTGTGCAGCCCTCAGCACAGCGTCCTATGCTGGAGGTGGGGGGGGGGACCACTGGGTCCCAAACAGGTGGGACAGGAGCACCTGGCTGCTTGTTCCTCCTCCCAGAGGCCCTCCCTTCTCCTGCCTTTCTCTGCCTGGTCTCCGTCTCACCACACTTTCTGAAGTCTTCTGCCTGTGGTCCTCATCCCACCTTGAACTCGCCCCCAGAGGATGAAAACAGCCCCAGGTCACATCCAGCAAGGGGAGCAGGGCAGGTGCAGTCCCTGGGGCTGCTCTGGGTGCCTAGCCCACCGCCCTCCCGTGTGCTGCTCGGGGCCTGGTTGGTGAGAAACCAGAGTCCGAACCAGGTCAGGAGGCCAGTGGCGCCTTCCCCACAGCCTGCCTGGCTTCTGTGGTCCCCCAGCACTCGGCGCGGCCAGCTCACCTTCATGAGGTCGCGATGGTGTTCCAACACGCTGCAGGTCGTCTGCCAGGTGTCCTGATAGCACTCCCAGGGGTCCACCCTGCACAATGGGGGAGAGAGGGGGTCTCCCTTGGTGTCCAGTCTCTCCCTCTTTTCTTCTTGGTTCCCTCCAAAGACCACCGCCCAGGGCGCTGAGCAGACCTGGTCATGCTGTGTAGTTAGATCTCAAAGCTGATACAACATGGGCTTATACGCCTCCCCGAGCCTCAGTTTCCCCTCTGTGAGAGGAGGGGTGTGTGGGCTGACATGCAGGGACGCTGACACTCGTCTGCTCAGGCGGAACCCCAGGCCCAGAACTTCGAGCTGCAGGGCTGTGGGGAGGCTATGTGATCGCTCTGGGCGCTCACTTTTCTGTAAAACAAAACTAACAGCAGCACCTCTCTTGTGGGGAGATGAGAAAGGCATGATGAGTGTTGGAGGTAAAGTGCCCAGACGAGTGTCTTGCTTGTATCCTTACCTGCACGACGGGAATTCTCCTCGGGGCCTTATAGGATAGCGAGAGCCAAGCCCTCACCCCGCGGTGGCTGCAGCCAGCTGAGCTGGGGAGTCTGCCCTGTCCCTCCCTGCGCAGAGGTGTGCCTTGTGGGCACGGGGGTGGGCCTGGCCATGTGCTCCTCACACAGATCACTGTGCACGAAGAGCAAGGATGGATTCTTAATCACCACTGTCGCCTCCCTTCACGGCTCTCATTCTGGCCCACCCATCTTCTCCACACGCTCTGCGCCCCTCCTCCTGAGGTCGACCTTCCTTCCTTCCTTTTCCTCCTTTTAAGGGAACCTCTAGGTCAGCGGTTCTCAACCTGTGGGTCGCGACCCCTTTGGCGGTCGAACGACCCTTTCACAAGGGTCGCCTAAGACCATCCTGCATATCAGATATTTACATTACGATTCATAACAGTAGCAACATTTCAGTTATGAAGTAGCAACGAAAATAATTTTATGGTTGGGTCACAACATGAGGAACTGTATTTAAAGGGCCAGAAGGTTGAGAACCACTGCTCTATGTGCTGCTGATGATTCCATGGGGGAAATGACAGTGCACATGGTGGGCCATTATTTTTTAGAAACGTCATCCACTCATGCAAATTACAGCTGTAGGCAAGTTGGGAGTGTAATTAGCATAATTAGCAGAAGGTTGCTTTAATTACACGGCAGGCTCAGTGGGTAACAGCTCTGCCATCTTAGTGGAATGTCCCTGGGAAAGGGAGCAAACGCTCTCCCGCCCACACCTCTGTCCCACAGTCAATCTGGGGCCCCAGAGACCCCAATTTGGGAAAGGAAATAGCCAAGGCCAGGCCACTCACCTGGAAAGCGAGTGGGGATAAAAGTAGGGAAGCATTTTGGGTTTTCTGGCCATGCCTCACCCCAAACCCAATGATGTGTTTGGAAGCTCCAAGAATATTCCTGGATCCAAAGGTGTCAGAGCAGATGAAACACTAGAAGCACCCTCTTTAGTGTCATGGGCCCCAGAACTTGGTTAAAAATGTAAGTTATCAGTTGGGCCACCCCTGAAGGTCTACATAACTATTGCTTGCATGGGGCTGTTTTGAAACAAACAACAGGTCCAAAATGGAGTCACTTGTGCTAAGCTCACTTCACCAAACCAGAGTGTCATACCTAGCTTAAGAGCAATTTCAGTCTCTCCTGGGATTATTATCTTAACCAGTCAGTCTAGAATTTCCTGGTCAGCTCCTGGTGAGGTACTTCACCCGATAGCCTCCTCCTGCCCCCAGGTAGGTTACCTAAGCCCGAAACAATCCACTCTCTCCCTTTCTGCCTATAAAAGCCTTCCATTTTGTGTAGCTCCTTGGAGCTCCTTTTTACTTGCTAGGTGGGATATTGCCTGATTCATGAATCTTTGAATAAAGCCAATTTGATCTTTAAATCTATTCAGCTGACCCGGCAGGCCTGGCTCAGTGGTTGAGCATCAACCTATGAACCAGGAGGTCACGGTTCAATTCCCAGTCAGGGCACATGCCTGGGTTGTGGGCTCGATCCCCGCTGTAGGGCGTGCAGGATGCAGCCGATCAATGATTCTCACTCATCATTGATGTTTTGATCTCTCTCCCTCTCCCTTCTTTTCTGAAATCAATGAAATATATATTTAAAATATATATATATACTCAGCTGAATTTTGTCTTTAATAGGATTACTATCTTCCCTGGCCTCCCGACCCCTGCCCAGACCCATCCTTTCTCCACCCACCCCTGTGAGTCCCAGGGCCACCCGCCTCCGGCATCAGCAGACCAGCCCTACCTGATCCAGTCGGAGTTCTGGACGGCCAGCTGACACATGATGAGACGATGCCGGCTCGATACAAGGCCCTGGGAAGCAACAGGGCAATCATGGGACCTGTGTCTGCTCCCAACCACCTCCCAAGACATCATTCGGGGCAGCCCATTCCAAAAGCACAGCCATTTCTCGGTGGTGACAGGGAATGAGGGTGTGCCCCCTTTACTTGTCCATCAGACACAAGACAGGCATGGAGGGGCAGCAGGGAAAGAAGAGGAATGAAGGGCAGGAGGAGGAGGAGACCACCCGCAACAGGGCCCATGGATGAGCCCCCACCTCTCGGGGCAGCCATGTGCCCAGCACAGAGATGAGACTCAGGCTCCCCTGGGGCCCACCAAGTTGCATGGGGGTGCAAGGGGAGTGGCTCCTAGATTGTCTGGGACATGTGGCAGGGATGGAGGGGCAGGAAAGTGACTTTGTAAAATCAGATTATAAAAGGTGTAAGTCTTTTTTCCTCCTAAAATCCCAGGAAAGACCTGCCTTGCCCATAACCAGCCGATAATTAGGCATCCCTGCCGAGCCACAGTTGGCCCTCAGCGGGTGTGACTGCTTCTCTTCTAATGAGTTTGGACTGAGCCTGGCACTGCCAGCAGCTGCCTGGTCGTGGGCAGTTGTTCCAGCTGCTGCCCAAACCAGTCCCTGAGGTCTGGCTGGTCCAGAGATGGGAAACAGGGTGCCTGCTACCAAGCATTTTGCTTTGGCAGGAATCACAGCAGAAATGGCAGTGGGGCAGTTTGATACCAGAGGAGGCATCAGGTCAGGAAGTGGGGGGCAGGGGAGGTGAGGGAGAAAAGGGGCAAAGCGGAGCCCACCTGTTTTCCGTAGGAGTCGTGGACAGGAGAGACAATCCCGCCAATCACAATAAACCTCCCGGTTTTGTGCAGATAATCTCTGGCTCTTTCTAATTAAGAGAAGAAAGCCGCACATTATAAGGAGGAAAGGGGTGGATTAAAGGCGATCATTGCAATCAATACATTCAGCTCTAGAAGGCTTACCTCCGATCTTTCTTGCCATTTAAAGAGAAAGTGCCAACTTTCAAAGCACAAGTTGGGGATTCAAAAGGTGAGGGAGCCAGATTTCAGCCCTCAAAGCAAAAGGATTTCGAACTCCAGGGGATTAATCCAGTTTTAAAGGGCCTCCACTCGACGAGCCAGTGTGGTTTAGGGGGATTTGAAACAAGCCCCTCACTAAGAGCTGCTGGAGCAACAGAAGGAAATGTGCTCCCTCTGATCACGTGCAGACATTCTGACGCGCAGGAGTCATTTTTTAAAAAAGAAGCAGCAGCAGCCTTCTTATGTTAGGCAAGGTGAGCTGGTTGCCTCATCTAGTTACTCCGAAGAGAAAACCCACCAAAACAAATTTACAGAGCCTTCTGCATAATTAGGGAGAATTAACCGTCAGGTCAAAAACCCATCATCACAGTGAGTTGAGGAGCATTCAGCCAGAGAAATGTATTCCCCCTGCCCCCCTGAGGAAGGAATTTGTGATGTTGCTTTTTCAAATTGGCCAGCCACGCCCCATTTCATTTTCATGAGAAAAACTCAGTAACCTAGGAAGGGGATGAAAATTTTGGCCCTCTTATTTCTCAGGGGGTCCGCTCTACAGCTCTCTCGGGGCCTGAGCTTGTGCCGCTGAGGAAGCGAGGCTTGAGTTTATTTCACAGGTGACGGACTCTGTAAGTGCGCCTGGGTAGCAAGGCTTGCAGTGCAGTTTAAAAGCAAGGTTCCAGGGTGACCCTGCTGGCTCTCCTAAAGCTTAAAAAATTCTCATCACATTTCTTTTAATGCCAGCTCTCTTAGAGTTGCATTTTTAAATAACGAATAGGCTTTCTTTCTTAGCACAGCTTTAGATTGCTAAAACATGTGAGCAAATAGTGTATAGAGTTCTATATACTCAGCCCCTTTATCTCCTCCCCCACTCCACGCACACACACCATTCCCCCTATGTTATTAGTATTGCCTTGCATTACTGTGGTACATTTGTTACACTGTGTGGGTTCATACTGACATTATTATTTCTAGGCCACAGATTTACTTTGTGTTGTAGATTTCGATGGTTCCGAAGAAGCCCTCCTTGGGTTCAGCAAACTCGCTAGAGTGGCTCATAGAACTCGAGAAACCCATTTATTTGCTAGATCATGAATTTATTACAAAGGATTTTAAGAATAAGAATCAACAGCCAGATGAAGAGACATGTAGGTTGAGGTCCCAAACAAAGGAACTTCTGTCCTTGTTGAGTGTGGGGCCCAGAACCTGGAAGAGTAGAGGAAATTTCTTCCTTCCCCACAAGAAAAACTCAGAGAAGTGGGGCTAGAGGGGCCCTTCCTCAGCATGGTCTAGAACACCCATAAAAACCTACGGCGAACATCAGACTTTACAGAGAAAGACTAAATGCTTCTTCCTGAGATCAGGAACGAGGCAGGGATGCCTGCTCTCATCACAGCTATTCAACGCAGCACCTGGAGTTCTAGCTACCTCAAGAAAGCGAGAAAAGGAAATTTAAAAAAAATAGAGATCTAAAAGGAAAAGAAAAACTGTATTTGCAGATGGCATGAAAATTTACTTATAAATCCCAAGAAATCTACAAGCAAACTCCTGCAGCTAATAAGTGAGTTCAGTAAGTTCCTAAGATACAAGGTCGATCTAAGAAAAGTAATTGCAAAAACATGTGGAAGTGAAATTAAATGTATAAGGCCACTCATAACCGCTCACACAAATGAATGCTCAGGTACGAATATAATAAAATAAACACAGTACTTGTACATTAAAAACTACAAAATGCTGGTGACAGAAATCAAAGATCTAAGTAAATGTAGAGGTTATTGTGCTTATGGGTTAGAAGACTCAACATTGTAAAGACAGTAATTCTTCCCAAATTGGCATATAAGTTTAATGCATTTCCGATGTCAATGTCAGAAAGATTTTCGGGGTGTACAATTCTAAAATTTATATGGAAAGGTAAAGAACTAAAGTAGTTAAAACCTTTTTGGGGGGAAAAAAAGAGAAGAAAGTGAGAAAATCTATCCAAATTTTAAAGCTTATCATATACCTATAGTAATCAAGACCTCAGGTATTGGCAGAGAGATAGACACATAGATTAATGAAATACAATACTCTAGAAATAGCTCCGCACAAATATGGCCAACTGAGTTTTGACAAGGGTGCAAAAACAATTCGATGAAGGAAGTGATATGTGCAATAATTGGGATGACTCTCCAGTTCATCATGTTGAGTGAAAAACAGCCAATCTCAAAAGGTTGCATATGTATGATTCCACTTATATGCCATTCATTCATACAGATTAGTGGCTGCCAAGAGTTAGGGATGGGAGTGAGGCAGGGAAGGGAGGTGGGTGTGGCTATAAAGGTGGGTGAGGGCACATGGCTTCTCTCTGTACTCTCTTTGCAACTTCCTATGAATGTATGATGATTTCCAAATAAAACAGGTTTTAAAGTTTATAGGAAACTATGAAACACTACAATTCTAAGGTGGCCGTGTGCAAATCCAGGCAAATGGCCAGCCAACTGGTGGGGGCGGATGCTTCTGGAACTTTTTTTCTGATTATCCCTATCCATCTTTGCTGCTGTCTGGATTCCAAGATTTTGAGTTGATGTGGCTTGAGAGGTGTTGTCCAAAGCAGTGCCTCGCAAACTTCAAGGTGCATGTGCATTTTCTGGGACCTTGTTAGAATGTTGACTCTAACCGTGTGGGCGGGGCCTAAGATCTGGGCCACGATTAGGGGGAGGTGAAAGAGGCAGAATCTTTCAAGTGCAGAGTCAGATCCTGTTTTCATTTAAAATTATGCTATTTTGTTCATCTCATGGATTTTTTTTTTGCATGAATTTTGATTTTTAAAAGTATTATTTATCTTGATGACCAAGTTTTGGGGCGCCTCCTTGAATTTTGCAGTGGAGGGTGCCAACCTCTTCGGCCGCCCCCTCCCCCTGGCCCTACCTGAGATTCAGCATTGCTAACAAGCTCCCAAATGAGTCCAACGCTGCAGGCCTATCAGCTATATTTTGAATAACAAGGGACTCAAGGCAGATGGGACAGCCCTGCAATGTCAGGGCCCCCTCCACAGAAGCTCTCTCTTCCACTCCACCACCACCTCCGCTTTGCATGACAAGGGCATTTCTGGATATTGGCAGGTAGCCCACTGGCAAGGCTATCGCTACAGCCCTGGAGTTTAATTTCATGCCAGGCTTCCCAAGATGTGGTCTATTTTTGTCCATCAGCTCTGCCCCAGGGACAGAGCCAAATCACTCTATCATTTTACACTCAAGTCCAACCCGCCCTCCATTTGTTCTCCCTCATCGCTCTCTCTCTAATGGAGGAGGAGCCCAAGGTGGCCGGCAGCATCGCCGTGTCCTGCCCTCAATACCTTGAGGATCCACTGTGTCCCCTCATTCCAGGCTACTTCCCTTGCTGACAGCGTGGGCTGGACCCACCAGCGAAGATGGACATAACACAGATGGTTTGCCCATTAATAATAATACATGAGACAGACATGCCTCCTCTGCCTCCGGGCGACTCCGTGAACCCACTGCTGTATGTCATCGCCTCTCCTCTCCCAGGGAGTTCATGGAGGAAAGACTGGAGTCAGGGCATCGATACTTACTCAATTTCTCCTTTCCAGCTGAAATTAGAAAGGGTCCCTTCTGAGTTGCATTCACAGCTGGAGCTGCCTGAACGGAGGCTTTCATAAAGGGGGTCTGGAGTTGCATACATTCTGAGTATTAGAAAGATCAAGCCCTAGGTAATAAAGAAAGAAACTGGAGGGGTTTTTAAAAAGCCTCCCTAAGACATGCCACTTTGACATGGATTATTTTTGAGCTTGAAGGCAATTGAGACCCTATGACAAGCATGTCAAACTCTCGGCCCGCGGGCAGCAGGTTACGAAGATAAGTAAAAGACACAAGGCCCGCCTCTGAGGAGCTTAGGTGTGTGACGCAGGGACACAGAACACTCTCCTTCGATAATTGATACCAAAATGAACAGCAGGGACATGAAGTCTTATGAGACTTCGGGGGAGGGAGTGGTCCCGATGGAATGGGGTGTCTGGGAAAGCTTGAGGCTTGAACTGGGTCTTGGAAACAGAGAAGAGGAAAGTGGATGAACCTTGTATTTTTATTTTCTGCTCTCTGAGGCTATGATCTCTGGGGCCTTGCTGACCCCGGAGGGCCACCCCTCCCCGGGTTAGACAATTCCTAGAGATAATGAACAACTTACACTAGAGCCCGCCTTTCAAATGCAAACTCCCCCAATCAGAGTGTCATCCCCGCTCCCCCGCCCCCCCCCCCCCCCCCACCTCCTCTGTCTGCTCTCACACCTAGGGTCACACTATCCCCTTGCCTTAACCACCGCAGGGCCAGCATCTGCTGAAATTACCCAAACGAGCCAGTCCCAAACCTGTTTACTCTGCCTCCCCTGTTCCCTCTTGTGGAAATTACCAGAAAGGCTCCTGCCTGCATTTCCCCTTCTCCCTCTGCCTGCGGACTGACCTGGTGCTTATCCAGTCTTACACCACCCACCCCGGCAAGCGCGGCAGGGCTTCTCCTCTTGGGAACTGTGAGTTTCACTCTCTTTTCAGGCAACTGTTTCCTGATCTCTTGGCCTTGCTACACCTAATAGTGAAACCTACATTTTAAAACAGAAGACACTCATTCCAGGGGGACAAGGCGATGTGAGCAGATGAACTGAGTCAGGCATGGAGTTTGTGGGTCCTCCGGAAGGCTCTAGGGCTTGGCTTTCCTTGTTTGAAAAGCAATGATACCACATCCATCCACTGTCACTAAGGGCCTCTTACCCTCCCCCAGCCAACCTAGAGCACCTTCTGCATCTTCCTCTGGTCCCAGGTGCTCCAGTCCCCATCTGTTTGGAAGAAGGGAGCTGGGAGGCCACG